CTCTTACCCTAGGAGTAGTAGGACTACCCAGAGTGTAGCAGCTTGAAATTTAATTGTGAAGCAAAGAGATGCTTCTGGGAAATTCAGGCAAACAAAAAATAACAAATCCTAAATCATGGAAATTATGAAGGCTTTTCTTTATTAGAAACAAATGTGGTTTGTTTTTTTTTTTGTTTTTTTTTTTGTCTACACCCTAATTAAAACCATCCTGAGCAATTATAGTATGACCAAATTAATATATTTCAGTCTGCTTTTCAACTGTTACAGCTGCATTCAAAATGTTTCTTTGAGATCAGCTAAAATACACAGCTCCTTAAGAAGAACTTGTAGAATAAAAATTTGGGATATACCCTGAGCTAGTCTAATTATTTAATCAAACATGTATCTGTGCAATATTTTGTAACAAGGAAACTTCACTAAGATGCATCAAAACCCACTGTTTAGGTGCATATGCAAACTTACTAAAATATGAAGCCTGGCAATTATTTCTTTTTTCTGTACAACTTTGAGTGGTTCTCAGAAGTTATCACAGTAGTGCCTGAAAATAATCCTTGAGTGTCTCCCAGAACATAAAGCTAGTTTTAAAAGCAATCTATTTTTTAACCTTTCTATTAATCTCAGCCTTGTATGGGCATCTATCACCCTGTGTCCAGTCAGGAGTATATATACATTTTTCCTATCTTAAGTGAATCATTAAGATAGCATAGAACTGCAAAAAGTCAGTGTTGTATATGTACAGCAATCTGTTTCTCTGTGTGTAAACATGTAAAATTTCTGCCTGTAATGCAGTCACAGCAGTCATGTGAGCTTCTCACACAAAATTAGAATTTAAAACACTTGATTTCATAATAGAAGTTCCAAGTTTAGAGTGTATGTTTATGATGAATGCTTGTGTAGACTGCTCTTATTTTCTAAATAGGCAGTTTTTAAACTGGGAGGTTTTAAAGCTCAATTAAAAGATTTAAAGGCTGAAGGCCTTCAGGAAATGAAGACTCACCTTCACAACCCTCCCCAGTTAAGGTTCTAAAAATTAGAGTGATCTTTGTGTCCATCCCCTCTTGTAGTTTGGGTCATTCAAGATATCTTGATCCCACCATGTGTTCTTCTAGACCCAGAAGTTTAAGACAAGATGTACCCTAGCATATCCTGTCACACACCTTTTGTCCTAACATACAGTCAGCAAAATTCAGGAGGCAGGTTCAGGGTGATAAACCATGACATTACTTTACAGATCTAATGTCTTATGTGATGTATGCAGGTATGTCGTATGTATGTGATGTTTATTCAAATAATAGGCTTGAGTGTGTGGTTAGAGTTAGAAAAGGTTATGGGTTGTGTCTTGGATCCTTGGAGGTCAGTTTAATGTAGTTTAAAGATTAAAAGATTTTCTCCAACTGAAATTGTGAGAAAGAGATCTACACAGTAAAATAAAATTTAATACATAAATAAATAAAACAAAACAAAATTGATTAAATTAAAAATCAAAGCAAGGCTGTTTGGACAATGTAGGAAGAACATTAGTGTATGCTGTACAGATTGGGCATACTTGTCTTCTGCCTGGCTTAGAGCTGTATGCATGCAGTGATATCTCTGTACTCGCTGACTTCCTTGTACACATTGTCACTGGAGGCTTGGCTTAATCAGTTGTGGGCTGAAAAAAGTAATATAAATTGGAACCTTTTGTCATGAAGTATTTAAATGTTGATATGCTTTAATGGCTTCGGGGAGAAAATTTAGCATGAGAGATTGTAAGAAACAAGAAATTGATTACATGTAAGAAAGGACTTGAACCTCTAATCAAGTATTACCATATACAGAAAGATCCCTAGCTAGTTATAGCTAAATTCAAATAGGATAATGGTTAGATTTTTTTTTTTTTTTTGTTAATTTTAAGTTTTATCAAAAAATGACATTCCTATTCACTCTTTATCTAGTTTTGCATAATACATGCTTACAATGATTTATGGAAAGTTTTCAGTGTGTAAATATGGAAGCATATGCTAGACAGTATCCATCAGCAGTGAGGGTTTTATGAAATACAGGCATCTGCATATTTCTCTCTGTTTTTGTTGGGTAAAAAAGGCCAGAAAACTTCTTGCTGAAAATTAAAAAGGTAAAATTTGATATAGCTAGTTGGAGTAGACAAGGAGTATTTAAGAGCAACTTTCTGGTTCCCTGCTTTTTCTATGACAGCAAGGGTAACTCCATGACTATCACACTTAACTGCCAGTTTCCCTGATCAGTGGGACTTAGCAGCTGCTGAAGGTCTGGTGCTCCTCATTGTAAATTCTTAAACAAAGTCAAACAAAGGGTGGTGGTGTCTCATCAAGAGGTAACTCATGTAGCTAAGTGCCAGCTTTGCTCAGTTAAGATGTGGAGCATTCTCTGAAAGCACAAAGGGAACCCCTGCATTTATAGGCTTGCCTGCCTGTTCTGTGTATGCAGAGAGCTGGCTGTGCTGCCATCAGGGACGGACTGTGTGACACTGCCTTCCCCTTACATGTGGGAGTCTGTTACAGGATCTCTACCTACTATTCTCATGAGTTATTGTTGTGCTAGCTGTGATTAACTTTTAATTACTTATATATCGGTTTTTGTAAAGCATCCATCTGTTATATAAGCTTGATTTACAAATGAAAACAAAAACAACATAAAATGTAGCAGTAGTACATTACAAAGCAGTCTGCAGCTGGCTGCAGACAGAAATCCTAATTCAATACAGGTAAGCAGTGAAAATTAGCCAATGTTATTTCCATCTTTAAACTATGGAAGTTAAAGTTAGAAAGAATTGATATTTGTGACTTGGGTTGGGAAATGTGTGCAGATAGATGAGGTCAGATATGACAGCGAAGGCCTGGAGATCAAAATCTGATTCAAATCTGGCTTTGCAGCTCCATGCAGGAATTACCCATATGCTGAACTGCTATGGTTGGCTGGAAGTTGTTGAAGTAGGTGTAAGAAACTTTAGATCTTACCCAAGGGAAGAGTAGCTAAAGTTATTTGGGTGGAAAAAAAAACAAATACAATTTTTGAGCTTTAAAATATGAACCTGTCCTTTAATTTTTTTTTATGGCATTGGTGGATTTTTCTCCCACCCTTCATCTCATTTAGGTTTGGTTTTGTTTAACTTATTTTTCTTGTTGGGGGTGATATTTGATGTTCTGGATGTTTTCTGTTAGATAGTACTTACTGCCTGTAAACTACTGCTACATCAAGAACTGTAAGGACATAGAAATCAGACATGTCCACTGTGCTTAGGGATGTTCAAAGGTGAGCACATTTCCACTAATGTGGCAAACCAAAACCAGCATCTGCATCATGATGTTTCATTCATCACCATAAATACAGAATGAACATTTTCTACACATAGATGCTTTCCATCTGGGTTAACTGGGTAAGATTTTCCAAGTTAATTGCTGTTGAGACTTTCACTGTCTTTCCGGGTTTGATTGTAAAAGTTCACATGTGGAACGTTTATAAAGATTTTGTAGTTGTTTCTAAGGTACTGAAACATGCATGGCATTAATCTTCAGCATTAGCTTTCTACCCAGAGAGGTGAACTGAACTGAACATTTTCAAACTGAAATAATAAAACCAACTCTAATCAATTAAACACATGCTTTATTATTTGACATTGCAAAATTATATTTTTTGGTACTCTAGGAAACATGAGGGAAGAGAAGTATCAATCATCTGAAGACTGAAAATAATTAATTGTTTTAATAAATAAAAAAAAAAAATCCAGGGGGTAAAGGGGCTGGAGAGGAAGAAAGGTATTTCAGACTTAATAATCAAACAAGAGTTAATGATTTTAGCAGCAGTGTGTAATCCAAAGTCTTCAGGTAAGGTTCTGAACCTGAGATTCAAGATGTAAAAATATCAGAGGCAGTTTGGTGGTGTGTCTTGTAAGGCTTTCAAGCTGTCTAATGCATGAGGAAGCATTGGAATAATTTTGGTTTGATGACCTTCCACATTTCTTGTTGGTTATAGTTACTGTGCTAATTTTATGTCCAGCATTTGCCCAAAAGGAAAGATGCCAATAAAATGATGTATTCATTATATAAGTATTTTAATATGTTTTTATCAATACTTGCTTGAATGGATTGCCTGACATTACATTGCAGAATTTTTAAGTCTTACCTTCAGGCAAATCTCATGCTTACTAGCAAAAATGAAAGTGTGAAATGCTTTTTAATGTATATTTAACAACAGATAGTCTTGTGATTACTGATGTGTATTCTCTCTGGATTTTTCCCTTGCTATCAGAAGGCAATGTTAAGAGACAACATTTTTACACATTTATGCTATTTACATCCATCAGATCCTTACTTTTTTACATATTTTTAACTGTCATTTATAAGAAGGCTACAAAAAAAGTAATCTCTCAAGTCTGAACCATAACAAGGTTGCAAGTTTACAATCAATCAATTGCCAGTAATAGTCCAGGAAGAAAGGGATTAAGGTACAAGTGTTGTGTGATGTTTTCAACACATTTTGCCTTGCATCCAAGTTTCTTATGAAATGGTCTATAAATGGTTTCAGTCTTTTATCTGCTTGTATTTAAGGAACAAATCTATCAATTGTATTTATTTACTCTTTCTAATAGTGTTATCATTTATTAGTGATTAAGTTACAATTTTTTGTATGATACAGTTCATGTTTTACTAATGTATTCTAAACAGTAGCATTCTACAGAGATCACTGTTATTAAAATAAAAGTACTGAAAGCATTTTAGATCACAGAGTCCCAAGGTCTACATTTTGTGTACTCTGACACTATTAAACTCAGTCTGGTTTTCTAACTGTGACTCTAATTAGAGTATTTGCATGGAAGGAAAGTTTATGTTGTTTGGTCAAGTTCTGTTAACACTGTTTGCATCTTGTTTTTTGAGCTTAGTGTTTCATGTTCAGGCAGCAGAGCACCTTCTTCAATAATTATGCAGAATCAATAAGCTTTTCTTTGTGTTTTGTCTTTGTTGTTTCTTTGATATGGCCTCTAGGATGCTGCAGGCAAGGTGCTGGACCGCTGGGCCATCATGTCCAGGGAAGAAGAGATCATTACCCTTCAGCAGTTCCTGAGATTTGGAGAAACTAAATCTATCGTGGAGCTGATGGCAATTCAAGAAAAAGAAGGGCAGGCTGTGGCTGTGCCATCTTCAAAGACAGATTCAGATATAAGGACTTTTATTGAAAGCAATAATCGCACCAGGAGCCCAAGTCTCCTTGCTCACCTGGAGAATAGCAACCCTTCCAGCATTCATCATTTTGAAAACATCCCAAATAGCCTTGCATTCCTGCTTCCATTCCAGTACATAAATCCAGTCTCTGCTCCACTGCTGGGGCTGCCTCCAAATGGCCTCCTGCTGGAACAGCCAGCAATGAGACTCCGTGAACCAAGCCTTACGACCCAAAATGAATATAATGAGAGCAGTGAATCTGAAGTTTCCCCTACACCTTTCAAGAATGAGCAAGCATCCAGCAGGAATGCTTTGACTAGCATCACAAATGTGGAGCCCAAAACTGAGCCAGCCTGTGTCTCTCCTGTTCAAACACCTACGCCAGTCAATGATTTATCGAAAACAGAACACACAAAAAGCTCATTCCGAATTCACAGAATGAGGAGAATGGGGTCAGCCTCCAGGAAAGGAAGAGTGTTTTGCAATGCATGTGGCAAAACTTTCTACGATAAAGGTACTCTTAAAATCCACTACAATGCTGTGCACCTGAAAATCAAGCATCGATGCACTATTGAAGGCTGCAATATGGTCTTCAGCTCTCTCAGAAGCCGCAATCGCCACAGTGCTAACCCAAATCCCCGCCTCCACATGCCTATGCTAAGGAACAACCGTGACAAAGATCTAATTCGTGCTACATCAGGTGCCGCCACTCCTGTCATAGCAAGTACAAAATCCAACCTAACTTTAACAAGCCCTGGGCGTCCACCAATGGGGTTTACCACTCCCCCTCTAGACCCAGTACTACAGAACCCTCTTCCCAGTCAGCTGGTCTTCCCGGCTTTAAAGACTGTCCAACCTGTTCCTCCTTTTTACAGAAATTTACTTACTCCTGGAGAGATGGTGAGTCCTCCAACTTCACTCCCGACCAGTCCCATAATACCAGCTGTGAGTGGCATGGAGCAGCATCCCCCTCCTCCTTCAGAGTCATCGGTACCTTCAGTGTTGATGCCCACCCCAGAGCCCAATGCGGACCTTGCCCCCAAAAAGAAGCCAAGAAAGTCAAGCATGCCAGTTAAAATTGAAAAGGAAGTTATTGACACTGCTGATGAGTTTGATGATGAAGATGAAGAGGTGAATGACAGGAGCACAATGGTGAATGACATTGGTCATGACAATCACTGCCATTCTCAGGAGGAAATGAGCCCAGGTCTGTCTGTTAAAGACTTTTCCAAAAATGACAGAAGCAGATGTATGTCCAGACCAGACATAAGAAGGGCAGACAGCATGACATCAGAAGACCAGGAGCATGAGAGAGACTACGAAAATGAGTCAGAGTCATCAGAGCCCAAATTGTGTGAAGAATCCCTGGAAGGCGATGATCGCCTCCATGAACCTGGTGAAAAATCTATGATGCACAGTGACCAACCAGATGAAAACCACAATGACTCTTCCAACCAGGATGTCATTAAGGTGAAGGAAGAGTATACAGACCCTACATATGATATGTTCTATATGAGCCAATATGGACTGTACAATGGAGGCAGTGCCAGTATGGCTGCTCTTCATGAAAGTTTTGCCTCTACATTCAACTACAGCAGCCCTCAGAAGTTCTCCCCAGAAGGTGAAATGTGCTCCAGTCCAGACCCCAAGATCTGCTATGTTTGCAAGAAAAGTTTCAAGAGTTCCTACAGTGTGAAACTTCACTACCGAAATGTTCATTTAAAAGAGATGCATGTCTGCACAGTGGCTGGCTGTAATGCTGCGTTCCCGTCACGGAGAAGCAGAGACAGGTCAGTAAATATTAATTGATTTTCTGCATTATTAAATGCGTTGAATTATGGAAGAATAGGCAGTTTAGGCTATATGAAGAAATAGAGAGATGCATAGTAATGACAAGTGACAATTGTGTTCCCATGACATTGAAAGAGATTTAGCACATTGAGATTTTCATTGTTCCTTGGCATTCAGAATGGTATATATTGGGCCATCCTCTTAAGTGACTGCCTAATTAATAAATGGCATTATACTTTCTATTTCCTGTGAACATGTATATAGTACTTCTGTTCATAAGCTACAGCCCTCATTACCTTTATTTACTTCTTCCTGTAACATTTAAAACAAGAAAATCTTCTATTAAGTGTATAGTAAATTATATACAATACAAATATCTCCATTGCATGCATATCAAACCATAGAACTAGGAAGGAGGGCAGAGTGGATGGGTGGTTGAATGAAAAGATGGAGATCAGTAATAAAGGACTGGAATTATTTCTATCCTCATAGGGTCATACAAAAGCAAACAAGAAGCATTAGAATGTTGTTCTTTACTATATTTAAGTTTTAAAACTAGGCGCTATGTTGTAGTGAGAACAAGTCAATATTAAGAATTAAAAAATCATTTTCTGTTTCTTTACTAGAACCTACACACATCTCTATCCACTATGGTCATTTAGTCTATGTTACTATTTTCTGCATGTAAGCAGTGGCCTTCTCCACCAGTGGAAATTGTGCACATTCAGAGAGAAAAGGCTTCCCTACATATTTTTAAGATCAACCAGGGTATATTCTGCTGGCCCTTCAGGTGACATCATGCCTGAGCTATGCTGCATCAATACAAAAGCAGTTGGACTTAAACAGAAGCAGCTGGTCCATAAACTCCTTAGTTTAAGGGGGTTTTTAGTTTTGTTTTGGGGTTTTTTTGGTTGGTTTTTTTTATAGACTGTTCTTTTTGATTCCTGAGGAGAATATAATACAAATGGAATTTGTCAAAGTGATACGATAACACAGGTATTTCATACTTGTGGATAAAAACTCTCTCATTTGATGATCAGACTGTCACATAACAAGATCTCTCTGGTCATGGAGTAATGGTGAAATTGGGTCACCTCTTTTCCTTTACTTGTGTTTCATATTTTTTCATTAGGCAGTAAAATTCAGCAGTCACAGGAAGGAAATTAAAACTAGCTAAACATTTCATACACAGCTCCTGATTTGTTTTTGTATTTTTTTCATTGAAATTGATGTGGTTTGAAAGGGAATGTTTTTTATCCTATAAAATGAAAGCAAGTTAGTGTTAAGGATAGTGAGGAGCCAAAATCACTGTTTTGATGAAGAGTACCATCCCCAAACATCTCCTGTCTTCTCCTATCATTTATGAAATCCACTAAACAGAAAAATGTGAACAAACATAAGAATACAAGTTCAAAACACCTAAGAAGGACAGTCTAGGAAGCTTGCATTTCAGTAGGTTAAACTACTAGATACAAAGCAGGTAGATCTAAATTAAGACAAATTTTCTTGCTGTGTGCTGATAAATTTTATGAGTCTTGAATTTGATAAGGGAAGTATGTGAATCAGTGGCATAATCTATGCTAAGATTAAATGTGTTAAACCTCTTTCAGTTCCCGAAACCATAATCTTTGTTAGTCAAGAATTTGGTTTGGTCAGTCTGTTTCCTTCAATGAATTATGAAAAATCAGTCATGTACCACACACAACAGCTTTGAATTAAGCGTGTGATGCAAGAGCTGATTAACTTTAGGATGTGGAACTTTATGCAGTGTATTAAATTTCAACTGTAATACGTTGAAAGATCAAGGTAGTAATAAAGTTAGCATAGTAAAGATTTAGATATTCTAAGAGTGACTGTGATGACATGCATAAAATTTTTCCAAGACAAGAACCTGCATATAGGACATGTATTGAATTTTTTTCTGATATACATGGGATACTACTGTTAAGCTTATTGAAAGAAGCATGAAATAAAAAACTGATTTAGTGTCTTAAATTGCAGGCTGCAAATTTAAAGATAAAATTATTATCTGCATATAATTTTGAGTGACGTAATGGACAAGGCCACCTTCTTACATAATTCCATTAGTAACATTCAGAATATGATTCATTTATGTGTTGCTCCTGGGACAAAAGAAATTTTTTTGCATATTATATTCTTTAATTGCAAAGATTCAAGAAAGGTTCTATAATTCAAAAAATTCAAAGGTGTGGTACAATTTGTGTGCCCTACTAGTTTTTATTAGTTGTTTATCAGTTTTGGCTTGCAACAGTAGTCAGAAAATGCCATTAAAGACCCAGGAAATTCTCCCATGGTTCAGGATGTTTTTTTTAGACACTTGAGCAAGAAACATACACAAAACTTCCCTGGGCTATCCATTTTTATCTGGAAGTGCAATGTCTAGAAATGTGCAGAAATGCAATCATATGTACAGCATGTGAAAGAAAGCAAGCGAAAGATTTAAATAACATTTCTAATACTTAATCCAAAAAGGGCAGTTTTGTTAAAAAAAACTTTAGGAATTAAAAGTTAAATCAATATATTCTCTCTGCCCCCCCCCTTTTTTTTTTTTTTTTTTGGTGTTGGGGTTGGGTTTTTTGTTTTGTTGAGGGAGTGATTTTTTGTTTGTTTCCTTCTTTGTTTGTTTGTTTGGAGTTTTTTTGCAAACTGTTTAATTACCCCCAAAATTTTTCCATTACATTTGTTTTAGTTTTTTTTCTTATCATCCTTTTGAATATATATTTTTTCTTTTTTTTTTTTCTTGAGAGAGTATATGCACTTCCCAGCTTTTCAGATTATGGAGACCATCAAAAAGATAACTAGATAATTAGATTAATAGGATTGCAAAGTGGAAACTTCTTCCAACCACTTAAATCAATTTCATTTAAAAACTCAGGAGCGTTTTGCTAACAATTGCTGTATGAGAAATAAGGGTTAGCTACCTACAGCACACAGTAATAACTCCTGGATAATATTTGAAATGGATTTACATCCCATTTTGGACTCATTACAAAAGTCTCTGTGAATTTTTTGTGCTATGAGTCACTCATATAATCTTTGATTAGCTGGAGTGTCTTTGCTTTGAAAATTAAATTTTTTTTCAGTACTTTCAGTACTATCTCTGTAAAGAAATCAGAGTTCTAGCTATTCCATAGCTTACAGTATTGCGAAGTTTTAAAATTTTTTTGTCATTTTATTAAGCCTATTACTAGTATTATATTAATTATATTATTAATCATATTATAACTAGTTAGATATCTAAAACTCACAACTCTAGCTATGTTCTGTAATAAAATACTAGTTTAAGTGGAGATAGATAACATTGGCTGATTATTTTTGTTTCCTTTAGAGGCATCTGATTTAGCTTAAGTCCTTTTCCAATGCAATTCTAGTTAATCAAAGGTTAATCAAATATTCCCCCTTGTACATATCACATCAGGAGCAAAAGCAGTGCTGCTTGGATGAAGGAGGGATTTTATCTGTGTCAGAGCTGCAACCCCCCTTTTGCAGAAAGCATCCTGTAGCAATTTGTGCTAAGGTTGACCAAATCTAGCTTTATCATTCCTACATCATTCCTGCTGAGGTCAACACCTGCATAAATATCCTTCTGCCTGCCGTGCTGGAATATCCTCTGAGATCTTTGGCCAATCAATGCTAATCTTTGCAAATTATGGTCAAGATCACCAGAAGATTTTAGAGTCCCGCTTCACATGTGGTTTTTTTTCAACTCAGGAAGAGGGAAAGCAAAGTAAGACTTCTTTTCCATACTATCAAAGACCCAGAAATTCTGTTATCCCTTCTAAAAATTAAACAGTATTGTTTTCCAATAGTCAAGCTCTGTTTAGCCTAGATATTTTTTAAAGCACCTCTTTTCATCATTCTTCTGAGTTACAGGTAACATCACTCATTAAATCACCCTTAATACCTAGATTTTTTGGTCTTTTCCTCAGAGTGGTCTTTCTGATCTCTTTACATAGAAGAACTAGACTTGGGTAAACCCCTTTTTCTTCCATAGTTCAACAACCACTTCCTGAATAGGTGTTCATCCATTTCTGTTCCTGTATTTACTTCAGATGTCCTTTCTTCTAAAGACATGATGTTCAGGCTAAATCTTGTTGCAAAAAGACAATGGAGAGTAAATAAGAAAAGAGACCATATTAAAAATTTTGTCAGAAACAGTGTCATAAGCCTCCTTTTGAATGGGAAGACATCTTTTCAAATAACTTTTTAAATGCAAAAGAGATGGGAAGAAGATATGTTCCCTTGAGAACTGACCACTTGAATGGAAAGATTTGTCCTTGTGGATTGAATTCTCTCTGGAGTCAGAGAAGATCTTTCCTGCAAGTGAGAAGAAAGGGTCAGTGGCCACAGTAGTCCATTCCCCTGGGATCTCTTTCCCAGCCTCATCTATGATTTTTATCTCAGCGCACACTGAGTTTTCCTTACAAAGAGATGGGTGTGGTTAATCCTTGAAGTCAGCACAGAGGTACAGCTGCTCAGGGAATGATCCTGAAAAGTGGATGAGACAGGTGGATGGGAGGAGGGAAGAATTATTTCCTGACCAAAGGGGACAGCAATGCCAAAGTTTCATCTGAGTTGAAGGGCACATTCAGAAGTAAAGGTCTAAAAGGTGCAACTTAGAGTGGTTGGCTTGATTTTGGTTTCTCACCTGTAAGAGCAAAGAATTTTGTGGTCAAAGACAGTGATGAAACAGGTGGCAGGTGGACCTTAGGCCTTCATTACGTCTTGCTGAGAAACTTTTTTTTTTTTTTTTTTTTTGGAGGAGAAATAGAGCCATCTTCTCAGTTAGACTTAGTGCATGCTAAATCCCCATTTCACCCAGTACTGACATTATTAAAATCAGTTTAATCAGGAGGAATCAGTTTAATTCAGAGGAACAAACGAAAACTTTTCATTTTGTCTGTCTGCTACTTAAGTAGGGACTATTCATTACTCAGGTTTGTCTTTTAGGTTTAAGTTTTCTCAAAAACTGAGCATG